ATATTTATACTTCGAGATATATCGCACGTGTGAGAGATCCTTTCACGAGAAGAAGCTGTTAAACTCTACTTTTTTTTTGGAGGGTGACAGCAGAAGAAGGGTGAACTTATTCCTCTGGAAACACGTGGCACGCGTGCTATTCCTTATTAAGGGAAGCGCGTGTCCCTATGAGAAGATTCAAAGATTCTTAAGTAAATCAATGATTCGAACGCTTCTTGTTGTAATATATATATATATCGTTTCGCTCGATTCGATTAATTTTTAATAATCGAACGTTCGTCCCTTGATTTATTATTTAATATTCGCGAAATTTCGATCGAAGTTTATACTTGCTTTATCATTTGTGTACCGTTTGTTACTGCCCCGTGCACTTAAAATACGAAGAACTACGGAGAAATATTGTACATTATTTGAGAAAGGAAATATGTTTCTCGGAGTACATATACATATATACGAAGAACGAGGCAGCTGATATGCAACTTAAATCCGCTGCATCTGGACCGGTTTCTAGGCAAGGATGAACGACTCTGTGGAAAGAGGGTGCTTTTATTCTACGAAAGGAAATATATGGCACGCGAGTCGTGTGCCATCAACGTGTGGGTGGATGCATACTATTTCTATGCGCATACTTGTGTATACGCGTTGCTTTACAGTGATTCTCATCTGGAGAAACATGCATCTCTCGTAGAGATATGCAAATTTGTCCAATTAATTTAATTTATACTAGATACTTTTAATCATTCTTTCAACCAACCAAGTGAAATATTAGAAACGTATTTGTGATAGTTGAAAAGATTGAAATAATTATTCATTAAAAAAGATTCCTATGAAAATCACAATTATTCATAATAAGATTACGTAAAGATAATCTATGATACAAAAAGAATCCGTTCGCATAACATTCTTTCTCGACGAAGACAAAGTATAATCTTTATACTTTTATGTAAATTTAAACAAGATTACAACGTTACGACCTATAAAAAAAAAAAGAGATTAGAGTAGTCTCTTAAAAAAAAAGAAAAAGAAAAAAAAGCAAATGTCCTTACAAAGATCATAATTCCTTCATAAAAATCCGTTTATACTACACCCTTCGTTCTACTTCTTAAAGACACAAAGCAACCTTTATGCTTTCGTATAATACCGGCATTTAGGCGAGATTACAACGTTATAAAACAAGGAAACGCGGGTAAATATCGTGCCAACTCATGATGCATCGAAATAAACCATCTCTATTTGTCGAGTAAATTCCGGGACAGTCAGTGGCTGTGATTGTCGTCGGTCGATTCCTACTTTCTTCAAAGATATCGAATCGCGTAAAACGAAGGAGGAAGCCTCGAATCATGGCGCACAGCTGTCGCGTGCCTCGCACGAACATCTGCTTCTACCTGCGCCTCCTCTCCACCGTTCCTCCCATTCTTTTTTTCTTTCTTCTTCTTCTTCTTTTTACCCCTCTATTCGTGTTATTATTTCGCGGCACCATCCACGATTTTTCCTCCTGCCCAAAGGCCTTCCTTAACGTTCACCACCTGCCGTCGCGACGTGGAATTTTATACGCTGGCAAGGTGATCTCGACGAGATCGATACAGTGAAATTCTATGAACCGTGCTCCTCCCCCGAGCTTCCTTCTCCTCTTCTTTGATTCTTCACGAGTGACATTTGTGTATAGGGTGTTAATAATATATTTAATGTATTCATAAGATTTAACTCTTTTTGAACTTGGCGTTGCAAAGGATCCAAAATTTATTGTAATAAAATTATTATATATTTCATTGTTGAATATATTATTGCGGCTGGTTACTTTTCTTATTTATTATTAGAAATTAAGTAAACGGAGATTCGAATATAGTTCTTTTATTAACGATTTCTAAAAGTATTCCATACCGCAAAATCACTTCCAAGTCGGTGAATAATTTTCAAAAGTTTTATTTTATAAAGATACATGCTTTCTTGCGTTGCACGTTTTCCTTCTCACAAGAATTAGAAAAATTGCGATTACATTATCGATTACACGTCGAAGTAGTCGGCAATGTAATCCATTACGAGCACAACATGTCGTGAAAATCTGTTCTGATACAAACCAGATGGAACGTTTCAGTTCCTGGCAAGTTCGTTATTGTAAGATTGGAGGCCAAATCGAGGTATTCGTTTAGGGAATTTCGATAACGTTCGCCCTCCGATCGCATCACGATAGTATCGATTCGACTTATCTAACAAGGTCAGTGAACCTCCTTGACCATTACGGAGGACGCCGAGTATCGATTCCTATTCCTGTTTCGTTTCCACTAATAAATGATTGAAAGTTGTCGTGAGGAATTCAAAAGATATTATTCGTGCCTTGTTATTAAAAATTTTCGGATCGAAATTGAACACGCGTCTCTTGAACGAGGAATAATTAAGATAATCGAGGGAAAAGGAATTTTTTATCTCTCGTGAAAAAGTTTCAATTCGATTTCAATCAAGAAACAAATATAAATATTCGTTTTTATCGTTTATCGTTTAATCAACGCGTAACGAGAAAAATGGCTTTTCAAAAGCCGGTTTTAATGACACACATACGGGTGGCTATTACGCGAAACTGCGCATTCTGAAGTTGGATTGCCGGGCTTTTGTGCTCAAACGTTTAATCGGGAATATACTGGTAGCGGATAGAGATAGAGATACCAAAAATAATTAACCCAATTATTGTACAAAAGACGCAAAATTCGCAATGAAATTTCTCAAATCACGAATTATATGCGCATAAAATTATGCGTGAAATATGCTACGCGTTAACCCAATTTAATTAATTCGGATTTATCACAAAAGCGAGACACGATCCCCTGAAATTCATTTAAATATTTCATAATTATTTCCGTGACAAACGATGATGCAAAATATGATCTACTTAACCAAAATAGATCCAACTGTTTACCAAAACCAAATAAATAATTCTACCAAACGTACGAATATAAAATTGACAGTTATACGTAATCGCGACGATACAATCCGATCCGAATTAATTACAGAGTATCGTCCCTCTATAAGTCCGACTATAAATTTCCCCAGACATTTTAATTGTCTTTCGTATCAATTTCTCCCGGTATAATTAATCACACATTCATGACAAAATAACTGTATATACCTCTTCTTCGATTTATCGCCACCTCCTCCCTCCTCCCGTCGCTGCGCTACACACGAATAATACCGTCACACCGATCATTAAAATCAATCGATCCTTGATTGAACGACTGTTACTCCAACGAAAAAAAAGAAAAAAAAAAAAAATACGAATCTTCATCACGAGAAATTACACGGTTACCATTATTCGAATGTCCACTCGGTGTCCTTTATTCATTCGAACGACTGTCGAATCGACTAGCATCCGAACGATTGAGAGCCGACTTTTATATCTTCTTAACTATAGCCTCACGTCACCGTATACGGCCACATCGGCATTATGCTCTCTCCGGGGCTCGTTACGAAGCGCGGTTGCAATTTAGGAAATTTAATGATCCTTAATAACCGGCTCGAAACATTTCAAGAACACTGTGTGTTGATCGTGCGCGCTTATTACTCCCGCCCGTTTCCTCATCGTTAGCTTTTAATCCACGCTGGGAGCACGTCGCTTCACCTATCTACCTACCTACCTACCTTGGTTGGCAGGCAGAAAAAATCGGCGTTACGAAATGCAAGCAGCATTCCGCTAGCCGGGCCCGTTGCTGCATTCGCGATTAAGCCATTAGACGGAGAAACGGTTTTCTCCGATCCGTACAGTGTGTGTGTGTGTGTGTGTGTATGTGCATCCATCACCCTGCCAAACGTGCCGGCGCGCATCTCGATTCCAAGTTGGAGAATCCGGCTAATTTGCGTTACACGTCGGTGTCGCGCGGTGCGATCTGGGAATCGTTAATGACGGTGAAATATATATTTACCGGGTTGATTCTCCGCGCGGAGGATTGGAAAGGACTTTGGGAACGAATTGTGATTGGTAAATTGAGATTGGTGAAGCTGGTCGATGTCGGTAATAAATTTTCGAATTTTTTGTTCCGTGCAATTACGAATGCAGATGTGGTCTCGTCACACACTTTTGCATCCAAGAAACGACGTTTTCTCATTGATTAAACGACAATAAATTCAAGAAATAATTAACTTTTAAATCGAAGCAATAATTTTATTTAATTTTAAATTTTTTAATCCGTCCATAATTATTACAAATGGATTGGCACTTCTCTTATATATGAATGATATAAGTTCTATGTTATATATAGGAATAGGTTGAAAGAAGATGATACGAAGAAAAACGATTATTAGTTAACGTTTATTACTCGATCTTCGGACGAAGATATATCTATACGTGGCTAATTGGGGTGAAAAGACGAAAGGTGCAGTTTACGGTCCGACGATCAAGCGGAACTTGCCGATGGTCTTGGCAATTAAGAAAACGATAACCGTGCCTTTAGCAACTAATAAGCTTTAAAACACTCTCTAACACGGGTGTAATTAATTTACAGCACGCGCAAATAATCTTCGTGTTATCGCGCCCCTCTTTCAAGGTACTTCTTGAGATTATCTCGAGCGAAATGTAGAGCAATACAATTTAAACCTTAATTGGTACTTGGCGAGGTGCTTGTTGCGCGTCTGATAGAATAATATCGATTTGTCTCTAACTGAAAATATCAATCGAATTCGTGCTTTCTATCGCCAAATGAAAACCTCTTCTTCCCTTCTATGAAGATCAAAATTCAATCACGGATGATTGCTCCATTCTCGATCAAATTTTTTTTTCTTTAACGGTCTTCGATTTTTCGTAATCTTGCAATGATTCCCAACTTATAAATTTTCAACTACGATCCATATCCTCGGGAATATTGGTTGACCTTTTCGTGACGAAAAAAATCGTGTTAATTTTCCTTATCTTATATATGAAAGTTCGCAGATTACTCGAATGTACGAGATCAAAATCACTTCTGATTATTCGATATAGTAATATTATATTGGCGAGAAATGTTTCACAGTGGATTCGTGAAATTTTCCAACGATAGGGAAACGAGATAAGGATCGAAAAGGGATGTGACAAGGTTAAAGAGTCGCGTGGCCGTCGCGCGCAACAAAACGTCCTCCCACGCACAGTTGCGCGAGTTTACGTCGGTTTAACAACGATAGACCGCGATAACTCGGAGGCAGCAGCGCAAGTGCGTTGACTGGCGCAGTTCGAATTGCATTTGCATGGTTAATTCGTCGTAAGAGGGAAATGGCACCGTCGACATTATCAGGAAGTCGTACGGACAAAACGTTGCATACAGATTACCGGTCCTCCGGCGGCTGCCCTTATTTGCTCTCGAGCATCGCCGATATCGGCGAAGAAGAAGCTGAGCGATTCAATCGTTACGAAGGAAATTGACCGATGTTTAAATTTCTCCAATGTTAAAAATGATGCAAACTTTCGTATTTCTACGAATCGATAAGAGCGATAACAGCGAAGCAAGAAAATTCCGATCTTCTTGAAATGAATTAATTTCTATTTTTTTCTTTTTTATTTTCTCTATCTATTTACATCAAACAATATTCCATAAATATTCCATCTTCCTTAAAAGTTAAATTGGCAGAATAGAATTCCATTATACATAGCATAACAAGAAAGAATTAATTAAGATTCCGAATTCGATTCACTTCCATGCCTCCAAACTTTATCGCGATGTTTAGGTTAATAAATCAAATCTAGTACGATTTCTGAAAGGATCACGTAATTATCCACGAGCAAACACTTGGTGAAGCTGAATCAGCGAGCTCAAGATTTACCGAGTTTGAAATGTATCTGCACGCGTACACTCCGG